AAAAAAAAAAAAAAAAGGTGCAGCAAAAGGGAGGAAAAGGGAGGTCACCCACAAAGGGTGCATGTGTTCCATGATTTTTTGTGGGTTTTTTTTCTTCTTTTTCTTTTGTGAGATGGAGTATCGCTCTGTCGCCCAGGCTGGAGGTGCACTGGCGCAATCTTGGCTCACAGCAAGCTCTGCCTCCCGATTTCATTCCATTCTCCTGCCTCAGCCTCCCGAGCAGCTGGGACTACAGGCGCCCACCACCACGCCTGGCTAATTTTTTGTATTTTTTAGTAGACACAGGGTTTTACCATGTTAGCCAGGATGTTCTCGAACTCCTGACTTCATGATCCACCCGCATCAGCCTCCCAAAGTGCTGGGATTACAGGCGTGAGCCACTGCGTCTGGCCCTTGTTTTCTTTTTAATTGAGACAGGGTCTCACTCTGTCACCCAGGCTGGGGTACAGTGACATGATCATGGCTCTCTGCAGCCTCGACTTCCTGGGGCTGCACAATCCTCCCAACCAAGGCTGCCGAGTAGCTGGGACCACATGCGTGTGCCACCGTGACCAGCTAATTTTTTTTTTTTTTTTGATACAGGGTCTCGCTATGTTGCCAACGCTGGTCTCTAACTCCTGGGCTCAAGCTGTCTTCCCACCTCAGCTTCCCAGTGTGCTGGGATTACAGGTGTGAGCCACTGCACCTGGACTGTGTCCCGTGTTTCAATGGCATGTTTACAGCGGCAGGGTGTGTGTGTGCGCGTGCGTGTGGCGGGGCAGTGAGGGGCTTCTCCTCCTTCAGACAACAAATATGTGTGGAGCTCCGACCTACCAGGCCCACCGCCAGATGCAGGAGGCACAAACATGACCAAGTCAGCCATAGTGGGGGTTGTGGGGTTCACAGGCCTTGGGAACCAGGGAAGTCAGTAGGCTCTTATTGGACAGTGTGGTTACCTGCAGGGCAGGAAGGGACAGCTCGCCTGGGGGGGTCAGGGCAGGGTTCCCAGCTGAGGCCCCCAGGAGTGGGGAAGCCAGTGAGCAAGCACAGGGGAGAATTCCAGCTAAGGCAGCCCAGGCTGGAGTCCCAGAGGGGAGAGAAGGCGTGGAAGCAGCGTGTGCTCGGGGAGAGGCGGGGGCTGAGAGGTGTGGGGAGGGTATTGGAGTAAGTAAGGGGCATGGCCGGAGCAGGGGCAGAGGGAAAGGAGATAACATCCCTGAAGACCCTGGGAAGCCTGGTGCTCAGCGTGACCCCAGAGAGAAACAGGCTTGTTGGGTGAGAGGGAGAAAGACACTTCCCCACATCTCACAGGGTGTCCTCCCGTGGACCCCACAGCTCCCCATCGACACCAGGCACTCACCTCTGCAGCAGCTGCTTCAGGCTTAACACGCTCGAGGACTCCTGGGAGGCCTCTACCTGTAGCATGTGCTCTATGGCTCTCCGCTTGTAGGTCAGCAAGTTCTCCACTTCCTAAGGAGGCACAGTTGGCTGGGTGGGCAGGGATCCAGGCTGCAGACGAGGCCTCCGCCCCTCCCAGCCCTGCCCTCTGCTCTCGCTGAGCCCCTCTCAGCAAAGACAGTTAAGAGATCAGGTGGGATGATGGGGAGGAAGGAGAATCTCTGTCAACTGTTGAGTGCTTTGCAAAGGCATGAAATTAGGGTCCAGACGCCATGAACCATCGGCGTTGGCGATTTCTTCTGGTTCAACAAATGCCATCATTCTCAGTGGCAGACAGGGAGTGGTGGAAAGGGCACCGTTCTGGGGCTTCCGAGCTCCCCCAGGATGCGTGGCTCACTCTGTGAGGACAGCCTCGGGCCCACTGCCTGGGGCTGCAGAGGGGGCAACTCCCATCTACCTGCTCCTGAGAATGGAGGACAAGAGGAACAAATGCCCCTCTTGACTCACCCAGGAGGAAGCCCCCGGGGGCACTGCGCTTGTCAATTCAGTGGGTGAAATGCAGAAAGAAGGGAGTGTCTGCTGTCTGCCATCTGTGAACTGGATCCTCACAATCGTCCCTGAGCTAGCTGAGCTCATGCAAGCAACATTTACTGAGCCCTCCCTAGGTGCCAGGGTTCGGGGTGTGGTGACAAAGAGATGGACATGATTCTTGCCCTTATGACATCTGTGGTAGTTGTTTTTTTCTTGTTTCTTTTTCAGAGATGGAGTTTCACTCTTGTTGCCCAGGCTGGAGTGCAATGGCGTGATCTCAGCTCACCACAACCTCCGCCTCCTGGGTTCAAGTGATTCTCCTGCCTCAGCCTCCCAAGTAGCTGGGATTACAGGCATGCGCCCAGCTAATCTTATATTTTCAGTAGAGACGGGGTTTCTCCATGTTGGTCAGGCTGGTCT